TATTATCTGGGAGAGTATAAACATTGAGAACGAGTTAAGAAAAAGACCTGTTTGTCAGAAATGCCTTACAAGGATTAAAAAGCAATGACAGGAGACTTTAAAGAGTGGACGATCGGTTCGCAATTCGGTGACAATTTCTTTAACCAACGAAACTACCAATAAGTCTCGATACGCAGAGACCCATTTTGCCAGTTTTGTTCAAGTTAAAAGCGTCAAACTCTATATTGTCAGACATAGACTATGGCAAAATAAACAGTAAGGGATTTTTGGAATGCCTGCTGAAATCCTTCTGAAGAAAAATAGTCTAGGGAAAAAAATGCATTCTAGATAACCTGGCCATGGAACAATTAAGTATGAAGGTTACTGGATGGCTGCAACAATAACAAGAATCTCCTGAAGCACAGCCATTGACCATTTTTTGCTTATCATCCATAAAAAGATAGGATTTGAAATTTTCCCCATGACTTCATAGAACACAAATTGCACTTCACTCATTGGTTGGTGGTGTGGAGTTCACAATTAAGTACACTGATTCATTGAAAAGTAATCTTCATTGTAACATTAGGTAAAATCTATTTGCATGCGATAAGAATTTTGGTTGCTATTTCCCCCCCTTAGAATACATTAATACTACTTTAGATAACATTCCTTTCAGAATCTAAGGTTATAAGTAATGTCAACATACAGTTTATTGTTCTTTTCCCAAGTTTGATGCAATGTGATTAACATATATATTCATAGTACTGCACTAACATTGCCTTATTATTAGTATGTGATATATTGTCAACTTTTCTATTTAATAGTGGGAAGATTAGAATGTTTGAAGTCATAGGAGAAACTCTGGAGCACGACTTCCCTTCCTGGTTTAGGAAGCTATTTGGTTATGCCTCTAACCCTGGAGTCATCCTACCCTGTATATTGCTGATGGTGTACGTATAGAATATTAACTCAAAGCTTGCTTTATCTGAAGTCTGTTAAGTTTCTTTCAATATGAATCTTCCCTGCCTGAATATCTAATTAAATACAGTGCTAATTGCCCAGTGGTGAGGGACTTGAAGAATTCATGAGTCTTCTATTTGACCATGATTAATGTGCTTTTGCAGAAAGGGTGATATCTCTTTTTCTTCAATGGCTTTCTTTTTGGTTTTGTTATTCTCTTCAAAAATGTTGCTGCTTTTGTCACAATGATGACAAAGCCACTGAAATACAAAAAGCCTATCAGGGGTCAGAAGTGCTATGACTTTGATCAGCTTGTCCAGTATGCAGAACGTTGTCTCATTAATACTTAGCAAGTTGAGTAGAAACATGAACACTATGGAGCAGAGTTATTCTTGGTAACTTTCAGTGAGTCTGGTCTTTCATGCCTGTCAAGGAAAGTACTCTGTGCTGTTGGGACAGAGGTGTGAGACATGTTGTTGCAGACTTTATAAAACAGTGCTAGTAGAGATTTTAATAAGCCAGTCAGTATCTGCTAAAGAAAAATTACCCCAGAATACTTGTTCTTAGAGATTGTATTCGCTTAATAATGGAATTTTAACCTGCTGTATACATATATTGGATTATTCAGCATACTCCTGAAATAAAAGTTAAATCTACATAGAGATGAGCTGGCATTGTAGAACTGCCAGTAAATATAGAGAAGAGTATAGAATGCAATAGAAATTGCAGAAGGATTTTACATGAGCGGTATAAAATTCTGAGATGAAATTTTGCCAAGGGATAATAACACCATATTCTTAACACCATATTCTATTTTAACCCTTAGCTATAAAAACAAAGAAAACAAAGAAACCAGACAGTCCTCTGAAATACATAGATAAGTCCTACTGGTTTTTGTTTTCTGTTTGGTTGCTTTGGTATTTTTTTTATTTTTTTGGGTTGGTTTTTTGTTTGTTTGTTTTTTTGATCACTATACCCTGCTTGGAATGGTCTAACGCAAAAACACCCCACAAAAAAACTAACAAGCAAAAACAAAACAAAAATAAAAACATAAAAAACAAAATCAGCCTTACATCAATACAAGATTTCATATCAGGTTTTTTCTAATTAAATCAGGATGCCAAAACACACTTATTTCACAGAGTTATAACAAAGGTAATATAATACACTGCAAAATGAAAATTGCAGTACATTGTTATATTTTAGTAGAAGGAGCTCAAAATTTAGAAAAGAAATTAAAGACTATGCTTTTGGATTCTTCTTTGCAATGTTTCAGATTGTCTATTGTGTTCAAAAGCTTTTATAAATATGATTCATTCATTTTCGAAGTATGCCATACAAGTTAATTAATTTTATAAGTTATTCTTTAGAGACCACATCACAGTAAAATATTGCTTTATAGAACATCTTCCTTACCTACTAAAAGATTAAATGTTGAATATTAATAGACAGAATAATTTCTTTAATTTTTCCTCCGAAGAAACAGTGCCTTCTTCATTCTGCTAAGAAGAACATTGTTCATTGTCAAAATACTAGCACTGACTAGGCATGGAAAATGAGGAAAAAAGACAGACTTTTTATTATCACAGCTATAATTGTTGTTATAGGAATGTTCTAAGAGTCCTTATATTTAAATAATTGCCTAAGAACGAATTATTATTCTTTATTTTTAGCCTGAGTCTTTATTACCTCAACGCGACATCCAAATCCTACAAGGAAGCTAACTCGGAACTTAAAAAGAAGTTACAAAGTGTAAGGAATTGAGAATTATTGCTTTTTTTGGATTTATTGAATGTTAGAGAAGCTGTTTGGGTCACTGAAAGATGTCTTCTCTCTCCCTATCATTAGCAAGCAGAAGAAAATAAAAGAAGAAATAAACAAAAGGCACAAAAATCAAATGAGCAAGAAGAAAATCCATTTGAGACAGAACCATCACAGCCGAAGCCTAAAGCAGACAAGCAAGATGAAACCACTCCAAACCAAGGTAGAGACTAGTTTGAATGTCTCAGGATGAGGAATTCATGTGTGTGTGATTTTAGTCTTCCTCACTGCCCTGACTGCTTTCTTTGCCGTAATCTCCTGAAATGTCTTCACAATACTGAATCACAAGTGTTAGCCTGATCTCCATTCCACTTGTGTTTCTTTGGCTTGTTTAAGAAATACTGTAACATTATTTCACATCAAGAAGCACCAAAGTAAAAAGATCAGCTATGGTGAATTGAAGGTCCCAGTCCAGCTGAAAAAAAGCACTTAAACTGTGCTCTGAATGACAGTGGTCTGTCTTATCTATCAAAAATCAGTCAAGTGTAAATTTGACTCACTTCTTTTATGTTTTGTTGACCCAGAACTACTCAGGACAGCATTTGTCCTCTGTGCCAGGTTCACCTGGAGAAGGTATAGTATAGTAGCAATCCTTATCAGAAAGCTTGGCTTGGTCAGGGAGGTTTCACTCTGTCCTGATGGATTTTGCCACCTGTTTCCTTTCCCCTATCATGCATGCATGCCATAGAGCTGCTATACTGGCTTAGGCCTAGGAGAGAAACCCAGGTTAGGGATGACTGTCTTTGGAAGAGCCATGTGCAAGTACTGCCTTCATCACAATTGGTAGATGATACCTAAGTGCACCTTGGGAAAAGCCTTCACTTTCCCTCATGGAGGGCTTGCAGAACAAACTGGATGGCAAATACAGCACAAAGATCATGAAGGTACATTATCCCAGGTTTTGGCATGGGAGGCCCCAGCCGTTCTACTGTAATCTGGGGTGATCAGCCAGCTGCAGGGTTTCCCTCTCAAGGAACTTCTAGCTTGCATGATCATTTGTTAATTCTGTTCTCCAAATACATTTCAGACAACAAGAAAGGACAGGGTGGCAATGAAGCAAATAAAACAGGCCAGCCACAAGAAGCCAGCTCGCCTCAGGCACTTCAACATCCTGGTCCTGCCCCGAACAACCACTATCTCCCACTGGGCCGAGGAGGAAACTTTCCTCCCCCATCCATAGCTGTAACAAGACCACCAGGGCCCAGAGGGTATGGAGTGCCAAGCTATCCACCTGGAAATGGGTACTTTCCAGGGCCACGACCAGGAATTCCCAGGGGCCCTCCCAACTACAGATAAGAAGCCTTAAGAACACTATGATATGATGAAGGACTCTGAGGGATGGAAGAGTGGTCCTAAACCCAAATGCACTCCTGAAATTGTAGAATCTAATTACTTTTGTTTCAAATTTTCACATTCATAGAAGCAACACTGGCACTTCAGTTTTTGCAGCATGGGAGGCTTCAGAAGAAATGGCATGTCTTACTTTTGAAGGCATTGAGAAAATGTGTTGTCTGTGTCAATAGGTTAATAAAATTGGGGATATTTATTGAGTGATATTTATTAGAAGAATTAAAAACATTTTGTATTCAGTTGATTGTTTCCTGAAATGCCTGAAAGTGTGTCCCTAACATATTTTCCTTTTTCTCAGAAGTACAGATCACTGAAAACACGGCCGTATACAAAGTGTATGAAAGTCAGGGATGTTTAAATCCCGCACATGTCATCTTCTGCAGGTCAGATATGCTTAGCTAAAGATTTCAGATTGTACATGGGAAAGCTAGAATTAAAATTAGGGAAAACCACATGATTCCATCTAAAACTTTGTGAAAGTATTAAAAGGGAAAAAGAAAAGCAGTATTTTCCCTTTTACTATGAAAAAATTTAAACACCTATTACAGGACCACCTTTAGCTAGTAATAGTTTTATCATGGTCTCAAAGAGTAGAAATGAATTTTAAAAGTCATAGAGGTAAAGGAATACCTTCTGTGCAGAAAATCATACTTGGGTAATAAAGGCAACATAGTTCTGAATTAATTCCCCCAAATGCTCACCGGGATTGTGTTATGGCATAGAGACAATTATTGTTGCATAAGAATATGTGGTGTATAATCTTCTCTGTGAATTTATCAATTCATGGGGCTGATTCTTTTGTCCTGTTTAGCATGAAGATATAAAGAAAGGAGCCTGTATATGACATGAGAGTATTTTGCTTTCCTTTGTGACGTAACTTCTCAGTTGCAGTGCATAGTCATAGAAAGTTGTGAACCACATCTGTCGAAGTGTTAGAAAAATAATAAAAATACTATTGCACACTTTATCTGAGGCTTTTTTGCTTTGTCATTAACTTTTTTGTTGAAATGTTTTGTGTATTTGTTACACAATAATATCTGTTGTTAATCATAGATTCATAGAATCATCCAGGTTGGAAAAGACCTCCAAGATCATCAAGTGCAATCCTACTGTGGTTACTAGACCATGGCACTAAATGCCACATCCAGTCTCATCTCAAAAACCTCCAGGAACAGTGAATCCACCACCTCCCTGGGCAGCCCACTCCAATGCCTGATTACTCTCACCACAAAAATTTCTTCCTAATATCTAACCTAAACCTCCCCTGGCAGAGCTTGAGTCTGTGCCTGCTTGTCCTACTGCTAGTGGCCTGGGAGAAGAGACCAACCTCCACCAGACTCCATCCTTCTTTCAGATAGTTGTAGAGGGTGATAAGGTCTCCCCTGAACCTCCTCTTCTCCAGGATAAACAGCCCTAGCTCCCTCAGCCTCTCCTCATAGCACTTGTGCTTGAGTCTCTTCACCAGCCTCCTTGCTCTTCTTGGCCATCTGAGCACACTGCTGGCTCATGTTCAGCTTCCCGTCTATCCAAACTCCCAGGTCCCTTTCTGCCTGGCTGCTCTCCTCTGTTCTCACTGTGTAGCACTGCAGGGGATGGTTATGACCAAAGTGCGTGACCTGGCACTTGGCCTTAAACCTCCTCCCGTTGGAATCAGCCCACCTTTCCAGACTGTCCAGGTCCCTCTACAGAGCCCTCCAGGCTTCCAGCGGATTGACACTTCCCCCCAACATTGTGTCATCTGCAAACATCTGCACTCAATCCCCTCATCCAAATCATCAAGAAAGATATTAAAGAGAACTGGGCCCAACACTGACCTCTGGGGAACACCACTAGTGACAGGCTGGCAACTGGACGCAGCACTGTTCACCACCACCACTCTCTGGGCCATCCAGCCAGTTCTTAACCCAGCAGAGAGTGCCCCTGTCCAAGCCATGGGCTGACAGCTTTTCAGGAGAATGCTGTTGGAGACAGTGCCTAAGGCTTTGCTGAAGTCCGGGTAGACT